AAACAGACTGAGAGTCCTACACGGAGAGCCGCCATCCTGTGCTCTTTAATGGCCAGGAACCTCCCCTGTTCACACCCAGGAAATGCTGCTGGACAGGGGCCAAGAGTCAGCTCTTCCTGCCGGGGCCTTATCCTGCCGGGGCCTTAAGCACTTGGGCTGGACCTCCCCTCTCACGCCCTGGGTGCCAGAAGGAAGGAAGGAAGTCGAAGTAACAGCAGGGCCCTTGGCTGAGCCAGGCCCCGGTGGGGGGGTGCGGTGGGGGGGTGGGGTGTGGGGGAGGAATCAGACCTAGCCCCTGCTCTGGAGGATTTCAGTCTCTCTAGTGGCAGGGGCGGGGGTTGGACGGGGTGACATAAGACAGGGACACGTAACTGATACAAGCTAGGGATCAGGGCTTCCATCCCATCTCTGTCACTCAGGAGCTGGATAACGGTGTCACTTCTCACTGTCACCATCAGCTGACAGGACTGGGTTGTGGGGACTCCACCCACGGGGAGCAAACGGTCCACCAGGGAAACACAGAGACACGCAGTGTTCAGAGTGCAGACACTCGCCTGTCAAGGGCTCAGCAGAGGCAAGGCCCTGGCGCTCCATCTGGCTTTGCCACCTGCGCTCTTGGAGACTTCAGAAAAGTGATTGTTGGGGTGCCTGGGTGGCTCAGTCGTTAGGCGTCTGCCTTCAGCTCAGGTCATGATCCCAGAGTCCTGGGATCGAGCCCCGCATCAGGCTCCCTGCTCCTTGGGAAGCCTGCTTCTCCCTCTCCCACTCCCCCTGCTTGTGTTCCCTCTCTCGCTGTGTCTCTCTTTGTCAAATAAATAAATAAAATCTTTAAAAAAAAAATTTGACCTCTAAGGACGCTATGAAATGAAGGGGGGTGTGCGCACGCATGGACGAATGTGATCTTCCTGCTGCAGAGGCCAGCCTGCTGTCCCTAGAGTCATCTTTACGCTCCTAGACCCAGGCCAGGGGCCACACGTACCAGGAGCCCAAGGAAAGCGGAAGGGACGGCCAGGTCGGTGGATTAACAGGGGTCTTAGTTTTACCCTTTGTCCTTTCTCTTTGTTTTAAACCTCTGCCTCTCATTTTTTTTTTTTAAAGATTTTATTTATTTATTTATTTGAGAGAGCGCGCGAGAGAGAAACAGCATGAGAGGGGAGAGGGTCAGAGGGAGAAGCAGGCTCCCCGCCGAGCCGGGAGCCCGATGTGGGACTCGATCCCAGGACACGGGGACCATGACCTGAGCTGAAGGCAGTCGCTTAACCAACTGAGCCACCCAGGCGCCCTGCCTCTCATTTTTAACACCCTCTTATTACTTTCTCACGTTGAGTCCTTCTTTTAATTCTTCTAATAACTCTGTTGTCTGGAGTTCTAGGGTGCTTACTTGCATCCATGACAGATGGTTTCCTCTTAAGTTTCTAATTTGGGGCTGTGAACTCAGGGTCAGCAGGACCTTATCAGTGGGAAGCCGCGTGACTAGATTTGAGGGTGTCTTTCTAGAGAGGTTCTGGGTTTGCTCCTGTCAAGGATGCTCCAAGGGTATTACCAAGCATGGACCATGTTATTTGTTCACTCTATCTGGGCTTCCATGACCATGCAGATGGTGTAAACTTGAACCCCAAACCCAAGCCAGGGCAAGCCTTCAGCAGTGAGCTCTTGGGAGAGATTTTCTATCACCATCAGATCTCAGGGTGAGCCTGACAAGGTTCTTTGGTGCCCTCCAAGCTGATGGAAAGCTTTTTTTCCTAGTTCACTCTTTCACTGAGGGTGTCCCCCTCTAAGGGGCGGAGCTTCATATTAGGGTCTCCGTTGTCAATACCCCAGGCGAGACCTCATCTCCAGTCTCTAGGTGAGAGTACAACCCAAGCCCTTGTGTTGCCAAGATCTACAGCGTCAAAGCTCTGGTTTTCAATTTCTTCTTTGTGTGTGGGGATTCCCCTCACTTTTCTGAAACCCAGCTGTGCATTCTGAAGGATGTTTACTTGATTTTATGCTGCATTTCTACATGTTTCATGGTGGGGATGAGCTCGTCAGGTTACACCGTTCACAACATCACAAGACCCAGACTATCTGCTCTATAAGCAAGTTCAAATCTCTTCCACCTTAAAACAACCAGCCCACCAACAACCAGTTCTCCACCCTTCACCACACGTGATCTCACATCGCCTTCATGGCCGAACTTCTGGAAAAAGCTGTCTGTCCTAACAGTCTACGTTTTCTCCTCTCCCCAGCACCTGCAACCTGCGGCAGGCTCCAGCTTGCCTCTGGCACTGTAGAGAAACTGCTCTCACCAAAATTACGTCCTGTATATATATACATATATATATATTTTTAAAGATTTTATTTCTTTATTTGAGAGAGAGAGAACGAGAGACAGAGAGCAGGAGAGGGAGGAGGGTCAGAGAGAGGAGAAGCAGACTCCCCGCCGAGCAGGGAGCCCGATGCGGGACTCGATCCCGGGACTCCAGGATCATGACCCGAGCCGAAGGCAGTCGCTTAACCATCTGAGCCATCCAGGCGCCCCTGTCCTGTATATATTTTTTAAAGATTCTATTTATGTATTTGACAGAGAGACAGAGCACAAGCAGGGGGAGCGGCAGGCAGAGGGAGAGGGAGAAGCAGACTCCCCGCCGAGCAGGGAGCCCGATGTGGGACTTGATCCCAGTAACCCTGGATCATGACATGAGCCAAAGGCAGAGGCTTAACCGACTGAGCCACTCAGGCGCCCCATGACCAGTATATTTTAATTAAAGGACCCTGCACAGCCTCCTGTGGGCAGCATTAGACGTTTTGATTCTTTTCTTGACCTGTTCTCACCACTTGGCTTCTGTGACTCCACACACACCTGATTTCCATTCCCGCCCTCTGGCCATCCAGTCTGATTTGTTTGCTGTCTGCCTTCTTCAGCGGTCCATCCTGGACGGCTTTTGTTCTCTCCTGCCACACTTCTCCCGAGCAATCTCACTCATGCCTGGGGCTTCACCTGCTGTCTCATACCTGATAATCCCCAAGTCTCCACCACTAACGGCGGCAGATACGGTCCTCCTACATAAATGCTCTGCCATTATTCCAAAGGAATAGTAACAGTGGGAGAGAAACAAGATGACTAACTAGAAGATTATCTCAGAACCACTCCACAGCTATCCCTGGGTACAGAGTCAGCATTCGTCCCCAGGATAAATCCAGAAAAAAAAGAAAAGATAGGGGTCATAAAATCACATGGGTAAAGAGGCCAAGCAGGAGACAGGTGGCCAAGGTGACCAGGGGACAAAGGTGGGAAGGGACCACATGCCCGTCTATAGGGATAGCAGCCACTTGGCTCCTTGAATCATGTTTGTCCTGATTTTCCAACAGAAGCTAGAAATCTGGGTTTTTAGGTAAAATAAACCAAAATGTTGGCCACTTTATATATATGTGTGTATTCTAGTAAAAGCCAAATGAAGCAAGTCTGTGGGCCACATGTGGTTCATGAACCATCAGTTGAAGATAACTTTTTTTAAAAATTTTTTTAATTTTCTTTTTTAAGAGATCAAGACCTGAGCTAAGATCAACAGTTGGATGTTCGGGCTGCCTGGGTGGCTCAGTCGTTAAGCGTCTCCCTTCGGCTCAGGTCATGATCCCAGGGTCCTGGAATCGAGCCCCACATCGGGCTCTCTGCTCTGCAGGGAAGCTTGCTTCTCCCTCTCCCACTCCCCCTGCTTGTGTTCCCTCTCTCGCTGTGTCTCTCTCTGTTAAATAATTAAATAAAATCTTTAAAAAAAAAGAGTTGGATGTTCAACCAACTGAATCACCCAAGTGCCCCTCTTTTTTTTAAGATTTTATTTTCAAATAATCTCTACACCCAACACGGCGCTCGAACTCAAAACCCCAAGATCAAGAGTCGTATGCTCCACTAACTGAGTCAGCTGTGTGTCCTTGGAGATCTTCTTTAAACAAACTTGAATAAGTACCTGGGAAGTCTCCTGAAGTGGGTGTGAAGGGTCCCTCCTTGTCTTGGCCTTTGTGGTGTGAGGTGTGGCAGCCTGCTCCCAGATGGTCTTAAATCAGGGTTCTCTCCACCTTCACACTATTGACATTTGGCCCGGACACTTCTTTGAGGTGGGAGACTTTCCCGTATGCTGTAGGGTATTTAGCAGCATCTCTGGTCTCTATCCACTAGATGCCAGTAGCATCCCCCTAGATGTCACAACCAAAAATGTCTCCAAATGTTGCCAAATGTCACCTGGGTGAGGAGATCGAAGCAAAGCATTTTCATCAGTTAATACACCTGCCCACCGAGCTTGCAGCCTGTTCAGGGATAAGCCTGCTGGGGAACCATGGGGACCTGCTATTACTCACTTTCAGTAGCACCAAAAAGGATTAGGATGAAGACACAAAACAACCAGCCCTGGAAGAAACAAATAAATGAGATAATGCAGCATGAAACAAATAAAGGTTTCTAGGAAGATGTGGTAATTGGAGATCAAGAAAAAGTTCTGGAGGGGCGACTGGGTGGCACAGACATTAAGCGTCTGCCTTCGGCTCTGGTCATGATCCCAGGGTCCTGGGATCGAGCCCCACATGGGGCTCCCTGCTCGGCAGGGAGCCTGCTTCTCCCTCTCCCACTTCCCCCTGCTTATGTTCCCTCTCTCACTGTCTCTCTGTCAAATAAATAAATAAAATCTTAAAAAAGAAAAAGTTCTGGAAATTTAAAAAACTATAACTGCCCAGATTAAAATTTTAATCAAAGAAAGGTATGAGACAAAAAAAGTTTTAAACATCTCTCAGGTTGTAGAGCAAAATGACAAGGACATGGAAAATATGAAAGAAAAGTTAAGAGATGAAGGATCAATCTATTCAATATCCATCTAACAGAAGTTCCAAGAAGAGAGCACAGAGAAAATGGAGGAGAGGAAATCATCAAAGATTCTATTCAATTGAGAAAAAAAACATTTCAAGCAGAGAAAACAGTCTATAAAGTGGCTCTCACCTGGTTGCCTGCTGGGTCTCCTGAGGAGCTCTTAGAAACACACACACCAAGATCCCCACTCCTCCTCAAGGTAGAGTAACGGGGCCGGGTTTACTCTCCCACCCAAAACCACCACCACCACCACAACTAAACCAGACAAAACACACAAAATAAAGCTTTCAAAACACTGGACACCAAGCATCAAAAGACAGTAACAGAAACACTGAGATCCCAGAGAGAAGGAAAACAAGCAAGGACACCAGGGGAAGAGCCATCCTTGGAGGGAGCCGTGCTCAGGGCCTTTTCCCACCAGTCAGACTAGAAAATGTGACAAGGCTTTGGGCAGGGTATTCAGGAAGGGTTTGGCTTCAGTAGTGGGCCATAATCAACCCTAACCTGAGCACCGCTCTGGACCTGCTTAACAATCACACAGACTACAAAAATATCTGGCACTCAGCAAGGTAAAATTCACAATGTTGAGCAAGCAGCCAGAGATTACCAGGCAGGTAGAGAGGCAGGAGACATATGAAGAACGATGAGGAGGATAATCAATCCATTATTTCACCAACCCAGAACTGACACATATGTAAAATGAGCAGAAAAGGAGATTAAACAGCTATCATAAGTGTATTTCATATGTTAAAAAAGTTAAACAGAGACATGGAGATATAAAAAAGACATAAATCAAACTTCTAGAAAATGAAAATCAAACTTCTAAGGGCTGCCTGGCTGACTTAATCAGGGGAGCCTGCAGCTCTTGATCCCGAGGTTGTGACTTTGAGCCCCATGTTGGGTGTGGAGATTACTTAAAAAAATAAAGTCTTTAAAAAAAAAAAAAGAAGGGGCACCTGGGTGGCTCAGTCATTGGGTATCTGCCTTTGGTTCAGGTCATGATCCTGGGGTCCTGGGATTGAGCCCCATATTGGGCTCCCTGCTCAGCGGGGAGCCTGCTTCTCCCTCTCCCGCTCCCACTGCGTGTGTTCCCTCTCTCGCTGTCTCTCTCTGTGTCAAATAAATAATAAATAAAATTAAAAAAAAAAAGAAAATTACAGTGTCAGAGATGAAAAATACACTGAATGGGATCAACAGTAGATTAGACATTGGAGAAGAGAAGATTAGTCAAGTGGAAGACAGAGCAATAGAAATTATCCAAAATGAAACACACAGAGAAAAAGAATTTTTTTTTTCTTTTTTAATGAAAAGCACATTACTGAGCTGTGGGACAACCTCAAGCAGCCTAATATGTGAGTAATTGGAGTTGAAGGAGAGGAGAGACAGAGGGACACAGAAAAAAATATTTTAAGAACTAATGGCTGACTTATTTCCAAGTTTGATGAAAATTACAAACCTACATATCCAAGAAGCTCAACAAATCTCACACACAAGAATCTACACCAAGGCACATCATAATCAAATTGCTCAAAACCAGTGGTAAAGTGAAAATCCTAAAAGTAACCAGAGACAGGTCAACATCACTAATCATCAGAGAAATGAAAATCAAAACCACAATGAGATATCACACCCATTAGGATGGCTACTATAAAAAAAACAGAGGGGGCGCCTGGGTGGCTCAGTTGGTTAAGCGTCCCTCTCTTGATTTTGGCTCAGGTCATGATCTCAGGGTTGTGAGATGGAGCCCTGTGTCGGGCTCTCCACTGGGCGTGGAGACTGTGCTGCATAAACCCCCCCTCAAGCTCTAAAATAAACAAACAAACAAACCAGAAAATACATGTCCTCGAGAATGTAGAGAAATTAGAACCCTTGTGCACTGGTAGTGGGACTGCAAAAGGGTGCAACCACTATGGAAAACAATACAGAGGTTCCTCAAAAAAATAAAAATAGAACAACCAGGGTGATTCAGTCAGTTAACACCCTGACTCTTGGTTTTGGCTCAGGTCGTGAACTCAGGGCTGTGGGATTGAGCCCAGCATCGGCTCCACACTCAGTTCGGAGTCTGCTTAAGACTCTCTCTCTCTGGGGCTCCTGGCTGGCTCAGTCATTAAGTGTCTACCTTCAGCTCAGGTCATGATCCGAGGGTCCTGGGATCGAGCCCCCAGTCACAGGGTCCTGGGATCGAGCCCCCGCATCGGGCTCCCTGCTCTGCGGGAGTTTGCTTCTCCCACTCCCCCTGCTTGTGTTCCCTCTCTCGCTGTCTCTCCCTCTGATAAATAAATAAATAGATAAATCTTAAAAAAAAAAAAAAGACTCTCTCCCTCTGCCCTTCCCCCCAAAATAAATAAACAAATCTTTAAAAAAACACGAAAATAAAATAAAAATAGAGTTACCATATGATTCAGCAATTCTCCTTTGGGGTACATATCCAAAAGAATTGAAAGCAGGGTCTCAAAGCATACTGTACTATTCCTCTTATATGAAGTATTGAAAGTAGTGAAATTCATAGAAACAACTCTTCCCTGCCACCACTGAGGCACACGGAGGCCGAGGCTCGGGTGCAGTCAAGATTCAGCTCCACTGGTAATCCACTGCCATGGCCGAGGAAGGCGTTGCTCTGGAGGTGTAATGGACGTCAAAATTGCTTTACAAGAGGTGCTGCAGACCACCCTCATCCATGGTGGCCTAACCTGTGGAATTCGCGAAGCTGCTGAAGCTGTAGACAAGCGCCAAATCCATCTTTGTGTGCTTGCATCCAACTGTGATGAGCCTGTGAATGTCAAGTTGGTGGAGGCCCTTTGTGCTGAACACCAAATCAACCTAATCAAGGGTGATGACAACAAGAAACTGGGGGAATGTGTAGGCCTCTATAAAATTGACAGAGAGGGAAAACTCTGCGAAGTGTTTGGTTGTAGTTGTGTGGTGGTTAAGGACTATGGCCAAGAGTTTCAGGTGAAGGATGTCATCGAGGAATACTTCAAATGCAAGAAATGAACAAATAAAAAACTTGGTTCTTGTTTCTCAAAAAAAAAAAATTCATAGAAACAAAAAATAGAATGGTAGTTGGTGGGGAGTGGGGAACAGGGGAGTTACCGTTTAATGGATGTAGAGTTTCAGATTCGTAAGATGAAAAAGTTCTGGAAATCTGTTTCACAATAATGTGAATATCCTTAACACTGCTCAACTGTACAATTAAAAATGGTCAAGATGGTAAGTTTTATGTTTTCTGTTTTTTTATCACATGCCAAAAACATAGCCAGAGACAAATCCAAAGAGACAGAAAGCCGATTAGTGGTTGTCACAGGTTGAGGGAGGACGGAATGGGCAGTGACTGCAAACAAGGACAGGGTTTCTTTGGGGAATGATTAAAATGTTCTGGAATTAGCTGGTGGTGAAGGTTGCACAACTTTGTGAATATACTCAAAACCACTGAATTGTACATTTTAAAAGGGTGACGTTTATAGTATGAGGATTATATTTCAATTTTTTAGAAAAAGCAGCCAAAGAAAAAAGACACTACTATGGAAGAACAGAGATAAGGATGACATCAGGTTTCTTGTTGGGAACAATGCAAATGAGGGACACCTGGGTGGCTTAACCAGTCAGTTATGCAGCTACCTTCAGCTCAGGTCATGATTCTGGGATCCTGGTATCGAATCCCACATTGGGCTCC